AAAAAAAAAAAAAAAAAAAAAAAAGAAAAGGACATGGAAATAATAGCAAGATACTTAAATTTGTAAAGTGCGTTGAGGCATGGTTAAAAAGTTTTTCACCCTCTCCTGAATACTACTAAGAATGATGAGAAGTCCTTGATCAGAATGAATTTAACTTTGGTAGAGCAAAGGAAAGAAATAAAGCAGAAGCCAGAATTATTGGTAAAGTCTAACGTATCAATCGGATTCTTGTGATATCCTAGTGCATACCAACTTGATATGTGAGAAATATAATCTGTTTTGACACAGAATAAGCAACTCCTTGAATTATGTTACCACGTTTTAAAAAAGAGAAGAAATCAGACAAAAGTTTTCTTTATGAAGCTCCTAAGATGAGGCAACAAGCAAACCTAAGTAATGTTTAAAATAACCTTGTTTAAAAGGAACCAGGTGTAAAGCGTTTTAAAAATGAATAGGCCAGGCACAGTGGCTCACGCCTGCAATCCCAACACTTTGGGAGGCCAAGGTAGGTGGATCACCTGAGGTCAGGAGTTCGAGACCAGCCTGGCCAACATGGTGAAACCCTGTCTTTACTAAAAATACAAAAATTGGCTGGGGATGGTGTTAGGCGCCTGTAATCCCAGTTACTCGGGAGGCTGAGGAAGGAGAATTGCTTGAACCCACGAGGCAGAGGTTACAGTGAACCAAGATCGCGCCATTGCACTCCAGCCTGGGCGACAAGAGTAAAAACTTCATTTCAAAAAAAGAGAACGAATACATTGGTTAAGTATATGTATGATAAGGCCTGGCATAGTGACTCACACCTAAAATCCCAACACTTTGGAAGCCAAAGCAGGAGGACCGTTTGAGGCCAGGAGTTTAAGACCAAGTTGGACAATATGGTGAGACCAATCTCTACAAAAAATTTTAAAAGTAGCAGGGTGTGGTAGTGCACACCTGTGGTCCTAGCTTACTCGAGAGGCTGAAGCAGAAGGATCATTTGAGCCCAGAAGGTTGAGGCTGCAGTGAACCATGATCATGCCACTGCACTCCAGCCTGGGTGACCAAGGATGACCCTGTCTCAATAAAAAAAAAAAAAAAATATATATATATATATATATATGTATGTGTGTGTATATATATATATATGATTACTGGCCGAAGTCTGCAAGAGTTACATTCATGATTATGCTACATTACTACAAATTAGACACCACTGGTATAAATATGAATATAACATAATTCTGAGCATGAAATATAGACACTGCATAGTATGGAAAATTGTCTATGTCTTAATCAATTTTAACTGAAATTTTAAAAATAAAAATAGGCCAAGCATGGTGGCACATGCCTGGAATCCTAGTGCTTTAGGAGGCCAAAGCAGGAAGACAGCTTGAGGTCAAGAGATTGAGACCAGCCTGGGAAAAACAGCAAGGCTCTATCTCTACAAAA